GGCTTCCTTTAGCTCTGGGCCATGGGGACACCCGCGAGAAAAAAAAAACAAAAACACCCCACCCGAGTGAAGGCCAGGGGCTCAAAGGTGGATCCCATGGCCACGGGAAGGTAGCAGAAAAGTCCCATGTAGCCTTCCCTGGCTTCTGGATCCGCTTCCTGAAACCAGCGTGGGCCGATGAGCGTTTGCGTGAGACATCATGGGGAGTTACAGTTGGGGTGCCCCGGAGAAAAAGGTTCGATAAGACATCATGGCTAGAATGAATCAGCAACCGTGGATGATGAAACCAAATAATGAGGAGTTCTACTCACTTGGGTAGAAATAATAGACATGCACCGGTGAATCACGGCTTTAAACACCACTTGTTGACATGACTTATGACGAGTCACCACTTATACTAATTAGTGGATGAACATGAGAGGATATTTGGCTGTGAGTGTCTTGGGGCGACACAGCCATTGAGCATTCATTGATTTGTTCGCTTCTATTCGCAGGCTCACCCCACGCTTCCTGACCCTGAAAGCAGCATTCCGTCCTGATTGCTGGCGTTCGTGAGGATATCAGGCAAAAGCCTTAGACGGAGACGTCGGATTCCCTCAAAAGACAGGTTTGCTTGAGAGTGTCGCCCTTGTGCATTTCAGCAAACCAAAAGAAGGACGTCCATAGTCCGATAACAAGGGTGCGTTACGTTCATTGCAGCTGTTTCGAAGGATAGAAATGTAGCATAATGTAGCTAATAATATGATTTTGGCACCCATTTTGCATGCAGCAAAGGTTGCCACACATGTCTTGCTGATCCCTCGTGTCATAAAAAACAACCTTTAGCTCCACATAGCTCCCCCGCAAACGTAAAATGCTGTGCTCAATTAGATCGGTGTGAAGTCAGCAATACAGAACCATCAGAACCACTCTCCCAAAAAGCCCGGTCTCTTCCGGATGTCGTTTTTTCCACAGCCCGGACAAACTCCTCCCTCCCCAGGTCCCTCGATTGTTCTTCGTCTCACCACCGAGCCGAGCCGAGTGACATTTCAATGCGATCCGAGCCCTTGGCCATCAAGACCTAACGGAAAGGACTAAATCAGGTCGCTCGCCAGGCACGCAGGTCTCCGGGCCAGCGCGAACGGAGAACACGTGGGACCCATGAAACGAGCGAAAGTGAGAGGGGCCCCGAAACGTGAGACATCGATCTGCCCGAAAACACCACCCACCATCTCTCCATCCCGATTGCAATTGGGACCCAAAAAAAACCATGTAAAACCCTTGAACACGTGCCATCTCAATAGCACTGCCCAACCATCCCAACCACACAAAATAGATCAACATAGCATGCCCAGACACGACTAATGGGACTGGCATATTTACATTTGGGGTGGTGCCAGAGGGGTCAATGTATATAGATATATAGACATGGAGTGCTCCATCCACCCCACCGCACCGACGCCGACTCCGCTCCGCAGCCGTCGACACCCGGCTCCGTGCCCGGCCTCGGAGAGCCCGTGCGCGGCGCCGCTGCGCTCCACGGCGCTGCCCGAGGAGCGGAGCATCTCGAAGAGCCACGGCAACACGTCGCCTGCGCGGAGCGCGGCAGACCGCGAGGGAGAACGGGGAGAACGTGTTTTTAAACACGGCGTGTCTTTCAGACACGGCGTGTTTTTGAGCTAGTCTAATACCAAGGACCCTGTTGTTGTTGTTGTTGTTGTTGTTGTTGTTGTTGTTGTTTTGAACATGTGGCTTGGAATCGGCATACTTTATCTTTCAGTGGTTGACTTTGAATGACTTTGACATACTTTGATTGATTTGGGGGGATATTTGGGGGGGATTCCATTCGCCAATCTCCGAAAAGTCACTTTCAGCTTCATGACAGGCGGTTCACCACGGCCCGTTTCGTCCATCTTGGTCGAACCTCAAGACCAACGTGAAACAACCCCAAGACCACCATGTGATGCCCCACGACGACTCTTCGGTTGGTTTCAAGGTGTTTCCATTTGCTTGCAAACTCTATATAATATGGTGAGTTCAATGATTATCTCAAGTAAAGGTTACGGTTGAACATCAATGAGATATATCAGAAACCACCCCCGAACGTCATACCCAGTCTCTGATTCTGGACCAACCACATGCAACGATCAAACGCCGAACGTCATTTCTGACGATGGTCACGTCTGTACTTCGGCGACTTCGTCGAAGCCAAACCGTCCAAGTGGCCCAACATGTCTTCCGGCAAGGCATTGGCCAAGGTCCCGAAAGCCTTCGCTGAGGTCGCCCGCCTGAGGCAGATCGGATCTAGTCTGTACGTCTTGCTGGCGGCCGGACTGTGAGCATCAGCTTCTCTAAGGCTCTTGACATGAGTTTTTCGAGGGACAATGATGAAAATAGTCGAATTCTAATATTTTCTTGAGTCGGGGACAAGAGTGGCTACTACGGAGGGGGCATGGTGAAGAGCAATCTGATTAATTACGGTTTGCAAAGTAAATGGCACAACATTGCACAAACCCAATGCTGTGAAGCGTCACGCACGGAAACTACCATCTCGTGCAATTGTTAAATGAACACAGGGCCACAACATATCATTAAAGGAAGCTCAACTTCGTGTCTGCGTTCGATTTCCAATGACTTGGGGCAGCCAACCATAGCCAACCTCTTCTACGAAACTCTCGCAGTCCAATCCCGCTCCAACCCACCTTCCGCTTCCGTTTGCTTCCGCTCTCCTTGCGTCCTCGACGTCCGAAACGCCTGCATCCTCGGGTCTGCTCTCCCTGGGCCATGCGTCCGAGAGGCACGTCGGGGACCTGATCCACTAAGGTGACTTTGAGCTGTGGGATCAGCATCTCCAAGTAGGGCTGAATATCTTTGGCATCCTGCGCACCGCGAGACAAAGCAGCAAGCAGCTCTCAGCTTGGTGTTCTGGCTAGCAGCTGGGTGTTCTGCGTGGGGCTGGAAACAGGATGCAACAGGCATGAAAGAGCTGCATCTGTGAATTCAAGGAACCACCTCCACCTCCAAAAACCAACCAAATTCCCCACCGCCCAGGCACGCCCCCGCGCCAACAACGCGACCTTCCAAAATGGCACGCATACCTATTACAGTACACCGAAGCCGAAGATACGGAACTCCGTTGGTCGTTTTGCACCGGTCGTTGCCCCAGCAGACAGCGCCTTGATGAGGAGCACCATTGCGCCCACGATCTGCGCGCCTTTCCGTTTCATGTCGCCGGAACGTTCCTTCATGGCCCGGTGGATCAGTGGGCACACCTCGCGGCGGGAAGAAGGAAGGGTCTGGTCAGACGGGGCAGGTGGAGAACGAAAAACCATGCGTGGAAAGGATGATCACTCACGACGAAACCTCAACATGGCATGGCCATAACATGGCCACTGGTCAAAATCAAGTGACCTTCACACCAACCAAGTCCCAAGCGTTTTCCATTCTTCGCGTTCCACGTGATTGCCGAGGCACCAATGAAAGGGATGGCGCATCAATGTGATGTACAAATGAGGTCGCCAGAAGCTTATCAAGCACATTACGTGTGATGTGCTCAAACCTTGGTTCTTCGCACATCACGCGCGACTTGACACAGGTCAGGCGTGAGCTTTTGGCAAGGACTTGTTGACAGCAAAACCTTCCCCAACTCCAGCGCTTCACCACAGCGGCTGAGCTCCATCGGTCATGGCGCTAATGAGCTGTGGGGCGATGGCCTTGATCTCTGGGCCTTGGGAGATTCGGGCTTCGCATCCGGGCCGAAGCGCTCTTTTCACCATTTCAGTGGTTTCAGAGGTTCGATATGGTTCGATGGCACTGGCACCCCAAGATGTCTTTAGACGGGGGTCCATATAAACCACCTCTTGGGGTGCCAGTGCCATCTATCCTGAAACCACTGTACACGCAGAAAAACAAGCAGCAAGCAAGGTTCCCCGACTGTGGGAGAAAAGAACTCATAATATATATATATACACATACATTATATAATATAAAAGAGGGAGGCAATCTAAAGGCACTAGAAGCTATCATAGTGGGACTAGCACGACTAGCGGTACAAGTACTGTCATTGAATCTTGGTGCGCATGAAGGGCAAGTACGTGGGTGACTCCCCAAATACCGCCAGGTGGCTACTGATGATGCTTCCAACCTTGTTGATGGCTTCTCTGGCAGCTTCCTTCACCTGCACAAGTTGGTGGCTCCCAAATGCGGCACAAGAGCTGGAACCCTCTTTGAGAGGGGTCCAGCTCTCTCTATATTAAGAAGGGGTCCTCTTGATAGTGGTTCGCAAAGCCATCTATTAAGCGGGCGGATCTTTGTGTCTTGGCCTTCTCAACACTCTACAACCCCACGGCTCCAGTCGTACCTCCTCAGGTTCGGTATGACTGGACCCTCCTGGCACCTGGGCCCCCAGTTTGGAAGGTGCTTGGAGCCCTTGGGCCGTTGCACGTATTGTTCTAGAGGAGTTTCAACAATCCATTCAAAACGAATGCTAGCTGCACCCCGCATAACACTAGGTGACGTCACTAATGCTGTTTGTTTTCTGTTTTCTTTTGAACATCTCGAAACCAAACAAAAAACATCGCACCAGGAGTTTCCAAAGGGCCTGGTGTTGAGTCCCATCCAGGCAGCCCGACTTCCTCCGTTCGTGACCGGCACCTCTTGGTGACTTGGCTCACCTCCGGGACCCCCTGAGACGCTCAACGGTCCACCTTGGCGTGCTGGTCATTGATCACGGTGCACAGCGCGGGCACCACCTGGTGCGTGATCGGCCCATGGGCAGAATCCTCTGCGTACGTGGTGGCGAACGACGGATTTCTCCATATACACCAAATGATTGAATGGGACACAGAAATGAATTGGCTGGACCAGAAAAATGTCTCTAAGGCTGGCCACTGGGACAAGGGATATTTCAAACGAAGCGGCTAGGGATGTTCATGTTTACTTGCAAGGCACTCTCTCATCAGAATGATCGCTCGCATTTTTTTGCACGGTTCAAGACGCCATGTGTGCAGAGGTTGCACAGGTCATCTTATGCTAGTGAAGAGAGTTACGATCAAGGTTGACATCAGAATGATCGCTCGCATGTGTGTCTGAGCCTTTCGGTGGATGAAGCGGAACCTTTCTGCCGCCCCGGCGGTTACGAACGGCACTGCGTCGACCGGAGTGCCTGTGGGAGGCACGCAGCCAGCTGTTTCTCCAAGCATTGAGTCATAGAGGCCAGCAACTCGATACTGCCCAGTTTCGTCCGCCACCTGGCAGTTTTGGTTTGAAATCCCTTCCGCCTTTTGCGTGCTTTTTTTGTTTAAAACAAAATAGCTAATTGTCTGGGTGGGTTCCAGGGATTTTTCTATCAGCAGCATGAGTCCGCAGGAGTTTTCTTTTTCTATAGTTTTGCGTACCTGCATACTGACTGCCCTGGGTGTTTTGACCATCTCCAGGATGGCCTTGCTCCCTCAGCGTAAGAAACACCCAAATGGCGTTCAACGTCTTCACTAGTTCTTGATGCCACGTCTTCACTAGTTCTTGATGCCCCCTCCTATCTAAAGAAGGAAGACACTCTACTTGCTTCGATCCTATTGCAAGGCCTTCCATGGCGCAAAACCACACACGTGCAACTACTCAATGAGATGACTCAGCACAAACCAGGACTATGTTCACACCGGGTCACATTTTGCCATTCAAGTTGGCACCATATTGAAACCTATCAAGCTGCACACACACACAAAACCTCATCACCATGTCACTTGGACCTGTCCGCTGAGGGAGAACAAAAAAATCGCAGGATCACCATAGTGTTTGATGGATTGGGTCATCAAAAAGCGAACTAAAATTAAATTCAAATTTTTAGTTTTCTTTTTGACGACCCAATCCAACCATTATGTCATTCACACAATCCCTTCGTCAATTATGGCGAAAAAACATAGACCTGCAGCCATGCCGCTGTTTGTCCTGGATGCCTGCCAGCAGAGGTGTTAAGACCTGCAGAGGTCCAAGAGATGCCGCTGTAAATGGAGATGCGGTCGGAAACGACGACTCAACGACCCTCCCGTAACATGGTAAGCTGTTGACGGAACCGCTTGTGAGGTACACCTGCATGAAGGAAAAAAACAAAAACATATGATAGAATATGATAGATGGAGATAAATGGAGCACGTTGAAAAACACACATCATGATTATTGCAAATTCGATTCTTCTTTTAGGAAGGTGGATTGCCATGGACAACATAGACATAGAAGTCTAGCGACGCCCAACGGCAACGAGGATGAAGCTTTCCACCTGAGGCAACTGAGCCAAACCTTTGCAACGGAGGGCGTTGTAAATGAATTCAACGGATGGCGTTGTAACAAGTCCCATGTCATGTGGCAAGCCGTTGGCCGCACACATCAGCAGGAGTCGGCAAGCCGTGCAAAGCTCTGCCCCAACATGAGGTCCCCCAAACAGAACGAAAAGGATTCTGAAACAACATGGCGGGGACCCCACATCTTGCCCACAGTGACTGGATTAAGACAATTAACATAATTAACCACCATTCTTTCAAACCCACCTCTCTCTTCCGCAACTCTTCCGTCAGGAACAACTCTATCCCAAACACTCCATGGGACTGTTATATTCACCGATCAGTTGGGGTGGTTGACCACGGGTGAACGTAGGTATATAAACCAGTAGTCACTTGGAGTTGGGTAGTGTGGCGAGCTCGTCCCATCCAGGGGCCGTGGATGTGACGTTCGGGCCTGTTCAGGCACCCTCCATGGAGTCCGCACCCTGTCCTCCATGTGACTGCTTTCCATCCGCCTGCTTGACACCTGGACCACTGAGCTGCGACATCATGGCACCGGCGGCGACCTGCGTCACCAGCGACCGGATCGCCCGGACAACGGGGAGCGATGACCTCAACATCCAAACTGACACGTGGCACCGCCGCGTTTTGGATCAAAGACCATGGTTTCTTTTAAATCAGTATTTTTCCTCAACCAATCATTGGTCAAAAAGAGGTCAAAAGTCATTGAAGTGCTCCTAAAAACCGCTCTGGCAACGTCTTCTTTCCCCCTGACCTACCGTGCCTGTGAGGCATTGCGGACGCTCTGCTGGGAGTCGCTGAAGGCCTGCGACGGTCGTGACACCGACCCGGTACCGAGAGTTGGGCGTGAACGGACACGGAAGGACCTTCAGGAGCGTGTAATGTGACAGTTAACGTTGTGTTTGTGTATATATATGATACTGATGCATGTATATGCCAGAGCCATGATTTGAATGGATATAGTTCTTCTTTGATTAGTTAGGAGTGTACGAAATAGTAGACCATAGTAGACCCCTCTATTTTGAGACAACCTCAATAATTGAGAGCGAAGCCTCTGGCTGTCTAAGGTGCCTCTCTGGCCCGAGGCCACGGAAAAGCGCTGCTAACGGGTAGCAACAGGCTCATGTTCCATCGCTTGGTCCCCAACCCTCGCCTTTTGAATGACACCCTGCCATGCAGGGCAGCCTTTGCCGGTTGCAAGGCTTGGCCCAATATGGAGCGGGCAAAAGCGACCCAAGATTGGTCGTCACCCCGATCCTCCGTTCGTTTGGCACCACGGTCATGAAACTGCTGCATCGCTCACAGTCTCCGACGCTGGGATCTTCTCGCACAGCTGCGGAGTTCCGCACGCTGCCGTTCTGGCGTCTCCCGGTGGAGACACCGAGGACAGAGGTGATCTTCCGCTGGAGACGGCTAAAGAGAGCACATGAGAGCACGGATGATGCACCTTTTTCGCCCGGCACAAGTGCCACGAAACCCGAAGGGTTGAGTAGTAGCCATCTGTTGAAGGCGATGCCACGTGTCAGAAGAATTCTGAAGTAGATAGTACCAAGTGGTGGTGATGAGCAGCGCAAAGAACAAGCTAACCCCCACAGCCTACGAGGACCACCGTGATTGGAACATATTGGAACATGATATGACGAACTGGTCATTTCCAAAATCATCCAACATCTAAATGCAACATCAAACCAAACCTGCTGCCACACAAAGCTTACTCCAAACCTGGTGAAAAAAAACGCTCCGTATACACATGTCTCTCTCTCTCTCTCTCTCTCTCTCACGTCAACCCCAAAAACATCGGATTCAGCAGCCACCTGCAGCAACAGTGGCAAAGATGAGACCACGTAGGGCTCAAAGAGTCGGCCTCAAGGGTCATCGCATCGCTGGTCGGTCACCGGAACCGCCGTCTGCGTAGGGCCGGGAAGGCGGAAGCAGAGCCGGTGGAAAGGCATCTGCTTGGACTGCGGTGTTCAGGAAGACCGGTATAGAAGTGCATTTGATAGAGGAAAAGGGTGCGTTTCAGGTGTCAAGACATGTGGCGGTTTCTTGAAGGGTGCCCTGTCGCATGAAGAGTCGAAGATCATTATATAGGAGTCCCGATCGTCAAGATCCCAAGTCCACGATGTGTTTCCTTGAGTATTTGAACGAAATCATCTATATGAATCATGGAGGCAAGATCAGAGACCTGACTGAGGCTCAGTGACTCCATCTTCGGATGAACACAGGACTCGCCCACAGGGTGAACTGACCCTTGACAAATCACACAGAAGTCGTTCTGCCAGAGACTTCACTGAGTCGCTGACCTAGCATCATGGTCAGCCCCTCCAGGCATAGCAACGCGCCCTCACGTACGGCGGCGCTCTTCTTGTCCTGGCGCGGAGAAAGCAGCTTCGCCCACCGCCGGACGGACCGGCCTTTCAGAGGGGGAAAGACCGACCGGAGAACGTCCGCCACCTGAGAAGCTGCAAAACGAAAGCCAGCGTTTTTACTTCGAGTGTGCTTTCTCAGGCCACTCCCCCGAACCCCCCGTCTTTCTCAGCTGGCGCAGGTATAGATACCCAGGGTAACTACAATTCAGTTACCAGGTATAATACTTCAAGTTCCCTTTCCGTCAACCGCCCGATAACCTTTACACACGCACAGCAATCCACAGCTTTGAAGTCTCATTCTTGCATTGAACTTATATAGGTGTGTAAGAGGTATAGCAACATAGCATCTATACGGACCCAGGGTAGCTACAATTCTGTTGCCAGGTATCCCACTTCAATTTCCCTACCCTGGGTCCGCGTGCGCGCGCGCGCCCCTTGCTGGCTCCCGGCTGCCCGTGATTTAGGCGCGCGCGCGCGCGCGGACCCAGGGCAGCGACAAGGCAGTTGCCAGGTATACCCAGGGTAGCTACAATTCAGTTGCCAAGTATAGCACTGCAACCAACCGAAGACAATTGCACTTCTTAGATTGACAAAAAAGCACCTCCAAAACCTTGTTTCCGTGCACCCCTACACACCACCTACTTTCGAGTGTGCTTTCTCAGGCCACCCCGAACCCCCCTTCTTAATTACTCAGCTGGCGCCTTGCCAGGCATAGATACCCAGGGTAGCTACAATTCAGTTGCCAGGTATAGTACTTCCAGTTCCCTTTCCGTCAACCGCTCGATAACCTTTACACATGCACAGCAAACCACAGCTTTCAAGGTTATCGAGCGGTTGTTGGAAAGGGAACTTGAAGTACTATACCTGGTAACTGAATTGTAGTTACCCTGGGTATCTATACCTGGCAAGGTGCCAACTACACCTTAACTTCCAGATGATGCAAATGATGCAAATTGCATTTCTTGCATCACCACCCCTCAAAAATCACCTCCAACACAATCTCAAAAAACCTTCCATCCGTCCACCCTCCTCCCCCAGCATGTGCCGAGTTTACGTGTACCTTTTGCGGGCCACCCCCCCAGACCCCCTAACTACTCTCTTCGTTCGCCAAGCACAACTCAGCTGGCGCCTTCTACGAAGGCTGGCTTTCGTAATCTGAAAGTTCCGGACTTTCAGCGTGCAAACAGATAAAATGATGGGAGGATCAATGACCAGTCGCAAGGAATGGGATGGCGTGTGACTTTATGGGTCAACCAGGGAGCGAACGGATCAGTGATAAATCACATGAAATCACGTCTATCAAGGCTCCTTCGCGACTTTGTTACGCTCGCCTCACAAATCAAACATGGGCACACAGACATGTATAGATTTACAGTAGATGTTTCTAGAATCTTTCAAAGTGCTTCACCCAAACGCTTCAAACTGCCCTTGGACCCTCAAAACCTGTAGGTTGACACCCCAAACCCCTCCATCTGAGCGTCCGATCCCTGTCCAGCAGCGTCCAAAACACGCCGAAACCTATAGACAGGTTGTGGGACGGCCTCCCGGCACTTCCCACGCACCCCCCCCAGTCATTACCACATCCGAATCGAACTTCTGAGGTCCTCTGGACCGAGTTCCACCCGTGCTCCGCCTCCGCCTCACCGATCCGCGATCCCGCTCCTCGGCGGCGGCCCCAATGGTTATCAGGATGTTGTGTTGCCGCACCGCCTGGATACCAAGACCTGCCGGAACGCCGGCGACCGCCACGGGACCATTACGGGACCGGTCTGCCGGTCTCCGGATGTCTCCGGCGCATGGGTTCGTTAGGTGAGGAAGATGTTCGTCAGTCCGGATCCATAGGATGGTCATAGACTCATAGATCCTTGGAACAGCCTCAGGCATCTGTCAAATCAATGGCCGTGACTTGATTGATGCCTGCTTGCCTCAATCCCTATCAATCACTTCTCCTCTTTTGAGAAATCGGTTGGGTCATGTTGGACCCAGCATGACCCAGCCATAGATAGCCATAGTATGCATTCTCCACTTCCCCAAACTCCACCCCTCACTCACTCCTCCCCTCACCCCCCATCACTCGGAACCTCACCGCTCTAAGCGACAGGCTTTTCTGCAGGTCACTCCACTCCCAAGCCACTCCACAAACTTCCGGAAAACCGACTCCCAGTCCACTCCACTCCACTCCACTCCCAACCAGTCCACTCCACAAAAAAACTCTCACTCCACCCACAACATCCCACAACCGTTCCTTGGCCTTTCGCCCCAAGCGCGCCCCTTTCCCGCGCTCCAACCCCCCGCGCCTTTCACCGTGGCGCCCACGCCCATGGCGGCGCCGCGCCGCGTGACGGCGTCGGTCTTGGGCGCCAGGGCGGTCTCTAAGAGTTGGTCCAAGGTCTCGGCCGCCTTCTCCTGGAGAGATCAGGTGACTGGTGCTGCGGCACGGATGGAGAAGTAGACATGGGTATGACCGTATGACGGGTTACTGTATTCTTTTTTCACACATTTCGATGGATATATGTTTGTTTGGTGGTTTGACCTGGGGTCTTGGGGTCAGGGCCCTTAGACGGTTCAATCTTTCAATTGAAACATAAGATTCTTTTGCGAGGGAGGGGGGGTAATTGAAAGAATCAATTGGTTCACTGAACCTTTCACTCTTTAGCCTCACAATATTTCGTAAACAACAACTTCCGCTGAGCTCCTTCTGAGCTCGCTTTCGTGATTGACCCGTGAAACCACCTCAAAATGCAAAAATGCGCGCGAAGTGTTGTCCAGGAGTCAGAACAGAAAGCCAGAACTTCCGTAACTTGACTCGCCCAAACTCGCAGTCATGATCCACCACTGTACCACTTCTATTCTATGGAGATAAAATGACTCATGACATGTCATGACTCATGACTGGGACTTTGAGGTCTAAACTTTCTTTCAGTTGCCCAAGAGCTCTCCCAAGCTGGGTGGTTCGTGAGCACAAAACACTGCCCGTGACCCTTTACTTTTTTGGCCCGCTTGATCCAAGCAGCAAGCGCACGACTTCCAATTGGCTGGTCTCAGCTGCCATGAACAATGCCGTCAACCCATCGGTGCTTGCTCAGTGTTTGATCTCCTCCAGCATGCTCCAGCCTCACGCAGCAATTGCACGACTTCCACGTGGCCGTTCTGGTATGCCATGAACAAAGCTGTTGCCCCATCTGTCCTTGCTGCATCTTTGTCAGCTCCAGCCTCAAGCAGAAATCGCACGACTTCCAAGTGGCCGTTGTGGGCTGCAATTTGCAAAGCGGTTCCCCCATTGTTCTTTACGGCATCTTTGTCAGCTCCAGCTTCAATCAGCAAGCGCACTACTTCCAAGTGGCCGTTCTGGGCTGCAATGAACACTGCGGTTGCCCCAGTTGAATGTGCTGCAGCTTTGTCAGCTCCAGCCTCAATCAGTAATCGCACTACTTCCAAGTGGCCATTCTGGGCTGCCATGAACAAAGCCGTTTTCCCATGTGCAAGTAAACGTATCCCATTCGGGTCGTGCGGTTTTCGCAGCAGTTGTTCGAGATGTGCAACACGATTCTCCAGGCAGCTCTGAAGTAGTTCTTCTTGTGTGGTCTCATCAGGAATACACAAGGGCAGAATTACCAGTTGTACATTTGGCATTGGTGTTAAAGGCATGTCATCCTCCAATTCACCAATTTCGTCACTGAAGAGTTTTTGCTGAAACCTCGAGCACCCAACCCGAGCTGAAAGAAGTCGCTTTAAGTCCAGAACAGTATTTCCACTTTCCACCATGTAATGCAGCTCATCCTGATCAAGCTGAGCAACCGTGTTGCCAGACACAGCCGTAATCTCCATCGTTGAGGTTTAGAAACGGGAGGTGTTGGCTGGAGCCATAGAGTGAGACAAGGATGAAGAAAAAGCAGAACCACAAGCAAGCTGCGGATAGGAAGAAGGGTCAATAAGTCTGACAGAAACGGTTTCCAATCCATTTTGAGTGGGATCTACCATCTGTTTGGGGACCACTATAAAGTCGGAGATTCGAATCGAGTCGGCCGGGCCTTGCTTTCTCAGATCTCCGAATCTCCTCGCTCTGGTGACCAAGTCGTAGTCACATCCCTTGGGTTTTCCACGTGAAGGGCGAGCCACGCAGTGAGGTCCGAGAGAGCCACCTGTTAGGACACCGAGCCACGCTCGGTGAGTCGCAACCTCCATCAAAAGACTGCAGGGAAGTGGGAGGCGTAACCTGAGGTATCTCAATGAGTGACTACATGTTTTTCAGTGTCTGTTGTAGCACGCTCCTGACAACTTCAAATGGACCCTGAAAACTTAAAAAGCACCCTGAAAAGCACTGGTTCGGGTTGTAGAGAAAAAACAGCCTTTCAGGGTGCCATTCTCGGGTTCCATGTTGGTTTTCGGGAGTGTGGTTCTCACAGAAGCTAGGATTATCTAGGATCCAGCGTGCACCACCCACCCTGGTGGCTCACACCAGCGTGAGCGTGTGAGGAAAAACGACAACCAACATCATGAGAGGGACTCATAGGGACTCCGAAAGGATTAAGTTAGTAGGGTGCATCGCTACGTTCGTAGCAAGGGCATCGCTATATATATATAGTACTCGTAGCTTCTGGCAACTAGTAGCGATGCACTTGTTACTTATAGTAGCTGCACACAAAGGACACTCTCTCAAGTGGTGACACGGTTGGAAAGTAATTTAATGATCCATCGAATCAATTAGCATTAACAACGCTAGCCTTATCCATCACAACACGACCCGATGGCCGTTCATCATCGTCTTTCCGAATTGAATCTTCTGCAGCATCCCACGCCCGAATGGCCGTTGCTCCTTATTCTGCTTCATCAAGGGAGGCATCACCTAGCACGAAGTTTAGTCATCGGCGCGCGGCTTCATTGAAAAGCCAACGAGTTCCAACAACTTTGTTGTAACAACTTCATAATATGATTTGATCTTCCTCAAGGATCCAAAGGTGCCAAAGTACTTTTCATTGAGCACGCCCTCACCTGGCACACTCAGCACGCCCTTCCCGTGAAAAAACAGCATACTCAGTCACCAGCTGGACACGACCAGCCCGTCTCCCACGACCAGCCCGTCTTGACCCTTCTCCGCACTAGACATGGTCGTTCACTCAATCTGGATAAATTTCCACATGACGTGGCTGGCTGGCACTGGTTGGTGGGATTCGGACACCATGAAGCATCCGACATTTGCCAACTAAGTTCCTTCAAGATCCCATCGCAATTAGTCAAAATATGTCAAAATTGGGATTCCTCCAGGCAATGCCAATGAATGGAGAGCTCTTGTGACAACCGTTGCCGCATGTTGCAAGTTCCGACAATTTGGGACTCCTTTTGGGTGTTGCTTCCGTCTTTTCCTCGAAAAAACGAATCACCACACAAAGCCAAGGACAGCACACCTTGCGACGTCAGTATCCCGTTAATCCGCTGTCCCTCTGTGCCTTCACAATGGCATTCTGAACGGATGTGGTTGAGGTCTTATCTTGCAGCCTGAAGAGAGTCAACGGTTGGTTGCGAAGTCCTTGACCCGAAAATCCTCTGTTCAGAGGGCCTCTGCAGAACATGGACTACAGTTCCAGTCTGGTCCTCTCTCTCTCAGGCTAGTGGGTATTTGGGGGGTCACTACGGCCTGGGCATGGGCAAAAACGCACGCACGCACGCAGAGAGTGATGAATGTAATTTCTGATGGGACTGGCAAAGTCGGACCATTTTTTCGAACAAAATGGGCAAAGCGACCACGGTGTGAATTCTTCCAGTTCGACCTCTCAAACGAGGAAAACACCCAACACGCACCAGTTCTGCCAACACCGACCATCCCCCCGGTGCATGCAAACGGACCACATGGACCAACCACGAAAAGCAAGCACCGAATGTAGGTTTCGAGCATTTTCCGAAGACGAACCTTGGGGTTCTATGTTTTATGTTTTTGGGGTGCATGTTCATCTGTAGGGGATGTAGAAATGGGGAGTGGGGTGGAGACGCCACTGGGTCCTACCTGGTCGACTGATTGGCCTGGCGGAACTCTTCCAAACAGAAACCTCTAGGGCCCTAGGGATTTCATAGGATCTTCCATTACCTCATGAACTGCTTTCACAGGTCAGTTTCATTCTATCTGTGGTCTCCGCAAGTCACCAACGAGTTCACTCAGCGCCTTTGCAGCAGGCGGGGTAGAATTTCGGGGACCTGGCCAAGAAAACGTTGGCACGACATGATGTCAAAAGCCAAGTCACAACAGCTGTTCACATGCGTTAGTTTCAAGCACAAAAACCAAGGTTTTACATGTTTGTTTTGTTTTCTCATGCTTGAGTAGTGGTTCTTTTAATATGACAAACTCCAATAAAATGAGCTGATTTTGACCAACAATTGAGCAGCCAGTCTTACAAACTTGGGCCATCTACTTTGAGGTCCCAATATACTGTATGTCCCAATTGCCTTTTGGCTTCCCACATCATCCCCTAAAGCAAACAGCCTGCGGCCAGTGTTTCGATACCTTAGCTATGCTCCCAACTGCAAGGCATACCTTGATTTCCTCCTGACTGTCTGGCCCAAGTGATGGTTATCCATCTTCCTTTACCACTCAGACCTCTGCATGTTCTGGCGTTCTAAAAGGCCAAACGATTTCAAAGTGGCATCTAATAATTGACACATTCTGACTTGACAAGGGCCAATTACCATCCTTGTAGTAGAGCGCTTCCCGCATCTTCCCACAGGATCGGCCAGCTTCTAACCCTGCCGTCGCCCAGCACGGTGTCCAAGCCACCTCTTCCTGCCCTCGAACCGCGAACCACAAACTGCGTGCACCTTCACGTGGTCGGCGGCCAAGTGCTTGGACAAGCCGCCCAAAAAGACCGCGATGCCCAGGTGTGCCGACTCCCCTGGCGAGCTGCACAGGTGCTACGGACGTATACGGTGCTCCCAGGCGGCGGAGGTGGTACTGTGGGTGCGGAGGTTTGCGTGTTCACCATACATGATATGTTTGTCTAGGCTTCCAAGACCATTCAAAGACAGGTTGACCTGGTTGCGTGTTGTAAAATCCTTAGAAAAGAAACAATGGTGGTTCGGCAAAGACCATTAAATCAATGGTTGTTGGAAGCCTAGGGTGTTTTGTGGGTGTGTTTTAGTTTGTCACAAGCTTATTCTGACAAATCATTCACAACTGGCATGCCAAGCCACGGTGGAATTGATGATTCTGAATCAACTTGATTCTTTTTAGACCTGGAAAGTCTTTAAGTGGCCAGGCTGCGTTCATGCGAGAGGAAAAGCTTTGTCGGGCCCGATCCGGGCCCTCCGCGCTCACCGCACCCTCTGCCTCTACTCGAGAATCCGCGCCATCCGCACCCTCATAGTTGGGGATGATCAATACTCAAAGCTCGACTTCCCTCCTTTGGCTTTATATGGCCTCGACATCCTTCGGTACAGCTTCGAGCCGTGTTCCCCCGCCTCCAGCGGTGCTGGCAGCGCTGTCCTCGAACTGCTCCACGATGGCGATCAACCCATCTGCGTAGGTCTCCCCGTGCTGTTCGATCAAACTGATGCCTGGCAACACACAAGGCGACACCGCATCGGACGATGCACCGATGCGTTTTGTCGTGCAGAAAGCAAACGCTGCATGAGAATCGGCACAAAGTCTAAAGCATACAAGATCTGATGCAATTGTGTGGGAGGCCCTCTATCTTAGACTGGGCATCTAGTAGATGCTGGTAGCAGTTCCATGCGAAAGCCTTGTGCTTTGACTTATAACTAATTTTTTAGCTGAGCTCCTTCTATCTGGGCTAATTGGACGGAAGTCTTCGTCACATAGATTCAGATTGATCATTCACTAGCTCAAGCCAACCAGTTCCTGTGAAAGCGGTAGTGTGAGGCAAGACCTGAGTTGCCAACCCCATCAGAATTCCTGGCTCCAATCCCAAATACTACTCTTTGCGTGCCTATAAATGCCTCACCCGGGTTTTGAAGCAACATGTTGTGCAAGTCTCATTGACATTGAGACAAAGAACCCCCCGCACCATCAAACCGTACCCGTTGACGCTCTGTTGCGACACCGCCGCCACACCTGCGGCCAAAAGCACATCTCGCAGCTCGCTCGCCTCGACGTGCCGGACGGGCTGCCCGTCTCCACGTGAAAAATCGACAGAAACTTCTTGCTAGGCAGATCCACTTTAATGAAGCAAATTTCATGGCTATCAATATCAAACAACATTCATTAAAAATCACGATCTTCGAAGCAAATATTGCTTGCTTTGGTCTGGATTCGGGTGCCATGAAGTGCATCCCTTGTCTTGGTTCGCCACGGCGTCAGGAAACACCAACAACGTGCGGTTCACATGTAGCACACTTGTCTCAAACAGCCCCCTTTGTCAGAATTTGGTAATGACATTATACATTACAGTATTCAGACATACATAGAAAGGGAAACGCGTTAGTCAGAACGACCAGTGATGCTTTTTGGCAAGTCTTCCAAAACTAACGTCTGTCAAACATTGCAAATAATTTCAATTGATTACATGTCCCGATGTTGCAGTACGCCGTACGCCAACAAACCGTAATCTTACAGTCTTACAGATTCTTGTTTTGGAGGGCTATGGCCACACTTGTCCAGCTTTGCTAAACAAACCACCCTCCCGGGAAACATCTACTGCTTGGATATATCAAAGATTATACATCAAAACATATCAAAACAAAAAACAACTGGTGAGTCCAGGAGTCCAGTTTGGACATGTGGACGTTTTCTCGACGGGCGATGTGTGCTCGGCACAAAAGTATATAACACCTTCTTCGTCTTCTCCCCGGGCACTGATTGTGGATCCCACCTTTGCCAAACAAACCATGCATTGAATAGTTATATATTTTATTACCAAACAAGATTTACCCCATTTTTCGGAACCCAATGTAGGTAAACTATATGTTCCATAGGTCTGGGTTCGACTTCATCCGGAAGCTGGTCGACTTCATCGATCCCCATTCTTTGGTAGTGAAGGACTGCGGTCGGTTCGGTCATCCGGCGATCCGTCGCGCAATGCGGTGAAACCCCCACGCGTGGCCTCGGGAGTGCTCCCGTTGGTGAGGCTCAAGCCCGGACGCAGTAAGAACTTGAAGGCCATGAAGACCTGCTCAAGGGCTATCTGCAAGGTTGAATTCATCTCCCTGGTGCATCTTAATTACAAACCAGTCTATCCACTCAAGCAACACAAGTCACAAAACGTACGTATCAAACTCGATGTCGGATGATATGGGTCCAAATCGGATGGCGCATCTGTTCCCAGGTCGCCTGCTCTTCGTCCTTGAGATTGGTCGCATAGATCCTCTCCAAGCATTTCGCCACAGTGATCCTGACGTTCGCCCCAGCACGGAAAGACGAGCGCAAAGGGCAACCGGATTCGAAAGTCAGTCTTCGCTTGGAAGGACAGTTGACCATGCGACCCTCAAGACTCCATGTTGTTATAGATGCTTTTCAGAATGTCCATTGTGGGGAGAAGATAGTCAAATAGGCCCTTCAAACAAAGCCCTCACAAGATATAATGATATAGACCCACATCATGACCTCACCAACAACCCCCCCCTGACCTCACCCCTGCCCCACCAAAAACAAAGATACACCCCTCAACTACCCTCTCAACACCTCTCCGAGCTCACCTGGATGTGGACTCCTCTCGGAACAGTTGCGTCAACAACTCCAGCGCCGTCTGGGCATTCTTCGGATCATCCAACTCCGTGAGCACCTGCCACGGCCATGCGGCCGCGGGAGGACGGGTGCAACAGGGCGCATGGGATCTCGCGCGGACGGACGGGTGCATGGGATCCGCACATCCCTGCCGGCTTGAAGCTGAAGCATAGTGATCTGGTCCTGTTTCTGAGGAGGCCTGGGCCGGCCCTGGGCCTCCGACATGCACGGACGGTGGCCATCGGCTGCGAGATGTGGCCAGACATGGGTCATGCACGGACTACCAATACTACACGCCCTAGAATTATCACCTGTCAAGTAAAGGATTTCATGGTTATCCAAGGGGGCCATGCCACGTAACCATGATCATTCCATCCAGCACTGCTCGAAAGAGTGGCCCTTCTGGAAAGGGACTGCAGTCCACCGAGTATTCTTGTCTTGCTGGCAGTCCGTCCCAGGTGGGAAACCCATGGAATCCATCACCACCCCCGCCGCAAAAGGTTGAAAACAACCCAACCAGTGACTGGGTGGTAAACAACCCAACCTCCCCATCAGCTCGACAAGCCGCCCACCATCCGCATCCAACCCATTCCTCAACCCTCGCCGACCCATCGGCCCCGCCTCGGCCAAGGCTTTGGCCACCAAGTCTTGGACCTCTGGCAAAGTGCCCCGCTTCGAGGCATAGTCCACCAACTCCATCAAGAGCACCTGGAGAGGCCAAGGAGAGGCAGGCTGGAGAGGCAGGCCAGCTGGCTTTCCGGGTTTGGTTAGCTGGCCTGGCTCGGAGGAGAATGGCCGTGAGCTACCCATTGCTGAGCGTCAAAGAGTCGAGTGTCAAACACTTCGGGGAACACGTGTCACGATTGCTCCGGTTGTTTGGGAGCCGGCAGCATGGCCCGTGTTCAGAGAAGCTTATTTTACCGTAAGCTGGCAGCATGGCCTGTGTTAGAGAAATTCCCACCAAGAACCAAGATCTATGAACTACAGTTAACTAGATTCTAGATCCCCCACGGTCCTTTCTTTCGCCTTCCGGGCGCCGGGCCTCATCCACGTCCAGCTGCAAATCTTCCAGGGCCTTTTTCGCCACCTCCTCAGGAGTGTTCATGCCATGTTGGTCGGCCCGGTCTGGTGGAACCCGGTCGGAACGGAGGGGTGAAGCACCCGAGGAAAGGAGTGAGTCTGAGGAGTCAATCACTCGCGAGGCTGCCACAGCCGCGCGTCGAGAGGCCTCCGGACCGAGAGGCGAAAGTAAATGGCAAAAAAAAGGCTCTTCCCTATGGATCCACATACCTTCTGAGAAGGTGATTGGAGACTATTTATGTAGGCTTGGAGGGTCCAATTGTCTTGTGAGAAGGTATGTGGATCCATAGGGCTTCTCGGAGAATCACAGATGTTCAACCTATCCCAGACACGACCCGTTTGGGACTGACTGCCGATCAAGCCAGACCACCCAAAGAAAGCACCGCTGGCCGTTTTGAAGGCAGCCCTGATCGGTCCCAAACGGGTCGTGTCTGGGTATGTCATCTCCAGTGTGCAGAGTTCCGGCGTCCACTTCCACTGAGTTCTGCATCTGGCTTCCAGGGACGGAAAACTAGAGGAGCCAGTGGGAATGTTCTCAAAGTCAAGTCAAGGTTGAACATCAAAAGACCACCACCCAGCCAGGTATACTGAAAATACTTGTGGGATCCATCATCTTATAATAGTCGGTACATACTGATTATACCGTATCTGAAACCACCGAGAAGCAATAGACCCACAGCTCATCAACGGTCTCACCACTGGACCACCAGTGGTAAGACCAACACGTCCCGGCCGTGCCGTACGAAAAACGGGTGACTTGTTCGATCTGCGCCAGGTACGTTTACACGACCCTTGGCACCATCCCAAAGCACAACCCAAACGCTCCATGTATGCCATATATGCCTACATTGGGGTGGTTTGGGGGGGTCAATGTAGGCATATATTCCATACATGGAGTGTCTGGGCAAGAATCCATTAGAACTACCAGCACCCCGCATAGGGGTCACCTGGCTGGAAGCCCACACACGACTGAAAGATCTCCAGATCAGGACACCCCTTCCAGGAAGGTCCATGCTTCATCATCGATCGTTTCCGAGCGTCCAGAGCTAGCGCGTCACGTCACGAGCTTCCTCTGATTGATGTGTCATGAGTCATGAGTCATGAAGAAATTCTGCACCACCACCATCCATGCCCCAGCTTTCCCATCACGAACCAGCCAATCAACGCCCCCACCGTTGGTCCAGGCAGCTGCCGACGCGTCCAGTGCCCCAAGCCGCAGCACCGCACGTGCTGCGTCCGCATCGACGGTGCCGTCCTGCGTCGTTGAGGGTGATGAGGCGAAGGGGTGCCTTCAACCCCGTTTGGGCTCCTGTCCTAGAAACCCCTTGCCAACCCTGGCCCATTGAACCGAAACCGAAACGAAGGTGGGCCAGGAGCCGGGAATGTTCTATAAACCCGTTTGGGCTTCTATTATGGGCTCCGAACGTCCCATCTCCTCAGGTGACCGGTTCGAAAGCCCCGGTCTCATCGAAGCGAAACGGAGGTTGGAGCATGGCCAGGAGGTGTAGGGAAGGTTCTGCATAACGTCATTGCTGCTGCACCTTACCTTTTGTTTCAGGGGGGTTTTCCTACTGCCTATGTCTTTGCGCCAGGAATGCAACATGCATTCTCTCTCTTGCAACATTGACCTGTTGTTCTCCTTTTCTTCAATTCAGGGACTAATCATGATTTGTCCCTCCACCTCAACCCCCAAAAAAAAAGAACTTGGTCGGCAACATGCGCTTGTTTCAAAGGGCCTTTTCGATCCAAGGGCCTTTGTCGGCAAACAGCACCTACCTTGGGGGGGGTACACATCCACTCGCGGAAGCCGCTGCCGCTTTAGTTTCTCAGACTAACGATAGACTGATAGAATCAATATCCCGACCATTGGATGGTAAAACCCCTTTTAGTTGACCAAGAGTCTACATTGGGTGTGCATTGGAATAGGGAGACCGACCCCCGTTCGATCCCCTGGAAGGTTCGTCAAAAGCCAATTGGTTGGAGGTCTCCCTCTTAAAAACCGTTCGATGATGGCCAGGGGGGTCAAGCATCGCCCCCTTTTCTTTATGTAGGCACGGCAATCCTTGGGCCCTCCATCGTAGGGGTCGGACCCGACCTCTTAGCAGGGGTCCGGACCTTGAAAACCCATGTAACATGACCTGAATTGCACACCCCATGATCCCGATCTGCACACACTTGCCGCATGCCGCTCAAGCGGCCTCCGACCACCCTGCTTCACGACACGTCCACGACACGACGGACCGGAGCCCCGATGTGAAGAAGAGATGCACCTGGTTCCCGGTTTCCGAACCTGGAGTAGGATAGAAGAACCAAGCGAAGCAGAGACCCGGTTTGGATGTTCCCTTCTATATATCTACTCCAGGATGCACATTACATACACACATACCTGGACCTTCCAAGGGATGTCCAATGGAGATCTCTCAGTAGTGTGTGGGCTTCCAGCCAGGTGACCGAGGGTGCTGGTACATTTTTTCATACACTGGAGCTGGACCAGTCACTCATGGCATGGTCCAGATCAAAGAGATGTTGGATGCCATGCTTGATGCTTGACCGCCCCAACCTGACCATCCGAAGCTCCCAGCGCGAACGTTTCTCACGCGCAATCTGCCACTCAGCTCAAGCAAAGGCCTCCGAAGTGAAGAAAGCTGAATCGAAACAGAGTTGCTCCTCTCCAAACAGAAGCATGTAGGAGATATATGGCACCCCTCCCAAAATACCCCAAAATGAACTACCTCTTTCAAGATTGTTTTTGTGTTTACAGGGTGTGTGGGCTGGAGGTGGATTCAACTCATTCAATCAATCTGTTGCGTATACGCGAGGTGGATCCTGAACGGCACCTTTTCCAAGCGTCGTTGAGAGGGGATCGATATGATCTATGGAGGCCAAGGCGGCCTAGGCTCCAAGCCTTCTTGGTGTGCCGAACCTGCACAACAATGATAACCTGCTTCCATTGCATTGCTAGGTTTCAGGCATCAACAACCAGCCATCTATAGGTCAGGTGTGGAGATGGCGCATGTGAATGCGTGTGTCGGGTTAATGGCTCGACCAAACACAGCCCCTCCATCTGGTCGTTGTGGTGCATGAGTTTTGCCCTTGCGGGACATGTTGATGCAATTGAACTTGTGGCCAAAACATGCCGAACATAAACAAACCATTTGTGCCTTAGCCTCCATGTCCGGCCAATATGCATACTTCATCATACTTCACTCTGCTATGACTGTTGATTGTTCATGCAGCGTACACATCATAGTTCACCAGAATAAATATCCCCACCCACCCACCCACCCCGCAGCCACTTCTTCCCATGCAGCTCAGTGGCTTCCTCCCAATGCGCGCCCTCGCGGCCGGGAATCCGCTTGATGTGTCGGGCATCCCAGCGCAAGGAGGTGTCCACCACCGACTGCAAGGAGGCCTAGGAAGGCACGGCTACCCGTACGAACACGACGGAGTAGGAGTGAAGTCACTGGACAGGTGGTTTGGGGTGAAGCTGGACTCAAAGCGTGGGCATTTGCAAACATGAACTGTCTTTCGATCTATCCAGTGGAATGATGTCATTTTCTTGGGGCGGACTTTTTTAACGTTTTTTTGCTGAAAACAGTGGCATACCAAGCATCGAATATATCAATATCATCAAATGGTGGAATGAGTCTTTGTTTGGCGGACTGTAAGTTGTTTGCTGACAATCGTGGATCAACGGCAACGGGTCGATGAACGCATCAGGTTGGGCCTTCAAGCAAGTTATACAAGAAAAAACTACAACTGTACTACTATAATGGCCCACATTGCATATACTGTACTCAAGGGAGCTTGAAATAAAGGCAGCTGACTGCAAACAGAAGCAAAGTGCTGTTTTCTGAACGTCCCATTCCAAACTACGAGTAATGCTTTAGAACTTGCTCAAGTCTGTAATCCTTCCTTCTTTCACCCGTATTAAGATGCTTCAGCCAAACTCAGCAAACATATGTTGCTCCTCCTTTCGAATGCGCTCAAGTACCACCACGCCTACGACTCAGATTCAGTAAATACCATCCTTGTGCCCGAAGACTCAAAGATCCTTTAATTTAGGAGCCTTTTGGGATATCAAAACCAGGATACCTTGCTTATCCTTAGTTGACCTAGATGGGAGGTCGTTCGCTATATGGCGGACTGGTCGGGCTACAAGTGGGTCACGATCCATCCCCATATCCCCTCAAACACACTTGACTCAGAACTCCACCTGGTCAATTGCAAAGCGCACCAGCACGTAGTCTTGGCTCTGCCAGGGTTCCACCGTCCCTTCAGCCTGTGCAGCGGAAAAACGTCGTCCGCCCTCCCGGGTGTCAGGTGGACAGGAAGCTTGTCATGTTCTCCAGCTAGCAGGTTGGAGGCCATCGCTATTAGGTTGGAGGCCATCCCTTTGGTTGTCCGCCCCCCCCATGTGGAGGCACTTCGTATACCTAGAAAGACCTGAAGTGAGGAGACCTTGGGTTCTCAGTGATGTGAACTCACCCTCCTCAGGCGATTCTTGGCACCAGATTTGGTTGATCAACACCGTCTCCATTTCCGTAGGCATGGCTGTCGCAATGCTTCCAATCCGCTGGGCTCTTTTTTTGGTAACATCCTCCTCCTGTTCGATGTTGTTCACCTCCTATTTAGTGTTTTTTCAAGTTTTCTCAAGTTCACCTCCTATCAGGTCTATCCTATTAGCAGTAACAATGGATGATGATTGTTACTGGAGGCCTTGTTCTAAACTAGTGATAACATGTGATAACTGATAACTGTTTACTGACTGCAGTTACAAGTAATAGGACAAACCCAAGCTGTATAATTCATTGATCCTTGGCGGAAAAAAGCCGATGATGCTATCGCCTCCTCCGGCTGCTGCTTCGCAAAGCACAAGGACCAAGAAGGCTTCCAATATCCTGGATGAGTCGAATAGTCGTAGGCGGGTCATGGCGGGTCCTTGTTTCCTGAAGGTAGACATGGGGGGTCGGAAGGCGTCGGAAGAGGATTGCCCAGGTTCTCTTGGGCCATCCAGGGATGAGTTTGACTCGCACACAGTAATGCGCAGTGAAATGGTTTGCCGGTACGGAAAGGTCACATAGTCCCATGCTTGATCTACTCGAGGTTCATGTTCACTGTGTTTCCGGAAGGTTTCTAATCTGGAGAATCAGTGGCTTGTCCAGCGCACCACTGGTGGGTTGTCTGCTTTCAGGTCACTCTATGAACAGGTCGTTCGCGAAGGAACTCACCGCGGAGTCAAGTTCGATCAATAGAGCTCTCCAAGGGCTGGACGTGAGGGCTGTGCATTCTGGGTTGTGACCACTTGGAACGTGAGGTCCATCCACAAAAACTGTATATCACATTGAAGACACGGCGGACCCTGGCAATGCCAGAAGACTTTTCAACATCGTGGCAAACAGCTTCCACCAATGGTTGGGCATCCCAGGGTCCCAATCAATGACTGGTTGCGGATCCACTAAACGCCTCCACTAGAACTCACGAATGATGGGAGATGGGATTATCTATGATTCACTGAGGCCAAGCCGTACCACAATGCACAAAGTCTTGATGAATAAACCCCTTCATAGTGAAAGGTTTTGCACACCAAATGGAGGGGGTTGCTGTATTAATCAAGATTCTACATTACTTTCTACCATGCAGGACCTTCTTTCGCAACGCTGCCCAGAGTCGACGTCGGCAATCCGGATCGGTCAGGATGCTCAGCCTCAGACGGCAACGTCACATGCTCTGAAAGTGACGTCCCACGTCCCGTGGTTTCTTATTCGCCCCTTGTTTGACAGGAGGATGGGTGGGATTGCTTTAGTCTCTCGCGGAGAATGTGACAGAGAATGATGCAACAAATGCACTCTGTCTGGCACTAACATGTTCGATTCTCCCTGGAAGTCCACTAAGCATATTTGAAGAACAGGTTGTTCGGTAAACACCTTTAAATCAATGGCCCATGGTGGTTTCAAGCCTGAGGTTCTGATACAAGTCTGGAACTTGGAGGTCTTAGCTGTTGGGGTCTGCTGAGAAGTTGGAATCCCTGGTCCTTAGAGCCCTGGAGCCACTTTTCTGAGAACTTCGCGGGGAAGTTGGGCCACCAGCCTCACCATAAGTGCCACCAGCCTCCCATCCTTTGGGCTTCCCAACTGCCCGGTGATAGTGCAATAGGCCGTTCGTGTGTGAGACACATAGAGCAAGGCCGCTTTCCTGCGCCCCGCAGGAAAGAGCGAGCACGCGGGGCGCAGATGGAGGCCAAGGGCGGTGGAC